TGTCAAACAAGCTAAAATAATATCAATTTTACAAATTAATTCTTACCTTAAATATAAGAATACCTTAAATATAACAATTGTAGATTACCTAAAGTATGTACACCATTCAATCTTCCTCAATTTAAGTATAAAGTCTAAGTTTACATCAAAGTTTTATCGAAGTTTCTATTTTCAATTTACGATTTTCGAAGTTTTTTCTGTTCCGAAACATCTCTGGTTTACATTTAAATATCTTTATTAGGTTCGTATTTATCATCAGGCTTAAAATACTGATTAATCATGGATATACTTTAAATAAAAACTAAAAAGCCTTAGCTATTATATCTAATTTTTAAATATTAATTCACTTGATCTAAATTTAATTTTTAAAAATTAAAAACAATTTTTAGGAACAATTTTTTAATTTTTACGTCAAAAATTTTGAAACATTAAACATTATAAATAATTTTTAAATTGTTTATTAATTTAATTCGAAAATTTCTGGTTCAAAAATGCTTATTTTTGGATACAAAAATTATTCTTTTTTCCTAAAGAAAATTAAATTACTAAAGAGATATTCTTTTCATTTTTTAAATATTTATTAATTTAATTTTTCTTTTTTCATTTTCTTTTTATTTTTTCTTTTGTTTTCTCTCACATTTTTTTTTGCAAAATTAGATTGGTATATATATCCCCCCTTATATTCCCCCCCCTTTCCTCCCATCGACTTATTCATTCGACCAAAAACCTTTAAAAAATTTTTTTTCATTCTTCTAAAAATAATATTCACATGAATGATTTTTGATGGGCATTTTTTGAATAATTTAATAAAAAAATTTTTCAAATTTTGTGACAAATTTTATTTAAAAAAATTTAAGTGATATTAGGTTTTTAAATATTTTTAATCGAATATATATATTTTTGTAACATTTTAATAATTTTTTTTGGGTTGGGCCAATGCATCTGTAAAATTTTTTTTCAGATGTTTGTTTTAATATTTGGTTGGAATTTATTTTTTAAATTGTCCTTCTCTAATTAATGTCGCTTTATAATAAATTCTAGCATCGAATCTAAGGGAAGATCCCAGCTAGGTTTTTCAGACTTTCGTACATGTCTTATTTTTCCTCATACTCGTATCTGCTTAATTTTTTACGTATATGCTTTAATTTCTCAGCCATATTTATCATCATTTAACTTAAGTTTGTGATATTTTATTACACGATTTGATACAATTGGTCTAAAATACTTAACTTTTTTAATATTTTTAGATAACTTTCTTTGACATTTTTTTCATAACTTCCATATTTTCCCATAATTTCTTGACTTTAATAAATCTAAAAAAATTAATTTTAAAAATTTTTATATCTATTTCCCATATGATATTGAAATATTTTTTTTCTAACTTCAAAAAATTGTTAAACATTTTTTTTCACAAAAATTTTTAAAAATAGATTTACATATTACAATTTCTTCTCACAACCGAATCTTTTTTTCTCAACACCTTAGATACATTTACTCTTCTCATTTCCTGTCAGACTTCTTGATAGGAAAACTTATTAAAAATTATCTAGACATATTTAATTTACAAAATTAAATATAAAAATAAATTTCTTAAAATAAAATTATTAATTCATTATTTTACTTCAATTTTCAATTCAATTTCTTTTTTACCATCTCAAAAATAATATATTTTTATGTATTCATTAAAATAAGAATTATATATTTCCTCCTCATTTCTATTTATTTCTTCCATTCTCTCATCTAATTAACATTTTTCGGATAATCAACAATATCCAAAAGGACTAAGAGAGGGGAATTAAAGTAATGAATGCACTCTTCATTCACACTCTTTTTTGAGAAAATTAAAGAGAAGTATTTTTCTATTTATTTGTTTCGAAATGTTTTTATGTATAAATATTATTTGCATATTAAATTAATTTACTATACTTGAAAATATTTTTTTATTTTTAAATATTAATTGGTAAGCTCAAAAGTGTTTTAATTAAAAATCGGACTGGGAGTGTCGTACGAGAGTCGGAAATATTACTCTCAATAACCAAAATTTCTGTTCGAGATCTCGTCTTGATCCGGTCCTTAGTTATAGACTTTGTTTTTGTTGAAATCAAAATATTCTTTTATAATAATTACAATTCCGAATATTTATTTGCAAACCTTCCATTTTAAATAATTTTTTGTAACCCTTTTATTCTTTAGGGAAATTAAGTCTAAAAATCTTTTCTTTTTTCATTTACACATCACATTATTTTGTTAATTAAACAAAAATAATTATTTAAAAATATTAAAAGTTTCCTCATCTAACAACTTTCTCTTTAAATTTTTTTTTGATTTATTTTTGACTTTTTTACCCAAAATTCTAAGAAAAATATATTTTTTAAACAAAATTAAAATATTATTTAATAAATTTATATAAACTTTTTCTTTAAATATAACATAATTTTAAAAAAATTAATAAATAATTAAATAAAAATTAAATTTACTTTTTTTCTCAATAAAATTAAATTTAATGTCATTTCCCACACTTTAATAAAAATTTAATTTTTAAATATTTTAATTAATTCACACACTTTATTTCTCATTTATAACGGATATATAATTTTATTTTATCAATTACTTAGACTTTTATATATTAAAATTTAATAATAATAGTACATAAATATTAATATATTGTTTATTTTATTATTTAATAATAATGTGTGGTTGTTTTTTTTATTTTTATGGCTTTAGTCAACGGACGGATATTATTATTTAGAAAAGTATTTTTAATTTAAATTTAGATATGTGTTAGTAGTTCCTCTTTAAATACTTTCATAAATTTACAATTAGTATACTTTAATGTTTTATTTAAAGATTTTTAAAATTCACTAATTTTTATCAACCTTTTAAAATGTTAATTTTAGCCAATAAATTAGCTTATGTATGTAAGAGAATTATTTGGGATTGTCTGGGATAATCTGTAATACATACTTTTTAGGCTTAATAAAAATTATTTTTTGGTATTATATTTAAAAAGAGAAGGTCTATTTATAAATATTTAAATTTAGAAAATCCTTATTATCTCATTTTTTCTTAAATTTTAAAACTAAATCAATAATCCAATTTTTTAAATTTATATTCAATAATTTTCTTTATTGGCAATAATATTTTTTAAACCTTTTTTTTCTCGTTAATTTAAGAAAAATATTTATTTAAGGAATTTTAAAAATAGTTAGGTATTTTATATTTAATTTTGAATTTGTTTAGATTAAATTATTAAATAATTCAAACAAAATTCAATACACACATTTTTATAAATTGATATTTCTTCACAAAATTCCCCAAAAAATTTATTTTTAAAATTTAAAAAACTGTCAATAAAGATTAAAAGACAAAATTTAAAATTTTTCAGTTTCTTTAATATTTCCCCAAATATAGAAAAAAAATTTAGCAACTTCCTCTTTTCTTTTTTTATTTTCAATTTGTCGGAAATGTCCAAAGAGTGGAAAATGAACACACAAACACGTTTTTAAAATGCATAAAGATTTTTAAAAAAATATTTATTTTGGGAATAATAATATTCTTTTTTATTTTTTAAAAAAAGGATATGCCAAAATTGGCCATTAAATTTAGTTAAATGATAAAGAAGGATTTATTAAGCCTGAATTTTATTTAGTTTTAAAAAACTATAATAATAAAATTTATTTATTTTTATTAAATAAAAATAAATAAATATTAAAAAAAATAAAAATAATGTTTTCGCTTTTCTAACTTAGAGTATCAACCACGACTTTGAGGGGGACTTGTTTTGTTCGGAATTTGCCGGCTCGACTTTTCAAGATTTAGAGCCGAAGGGTTACTCCCTTATTACAACTGTCTTTTCGTCTTTCTCATTTTATTTTGCTTTTTAATAAATTTTCTGAAAAATTATTAAATTTAAATTTTAAATAAAAATTAAAAAAAAAGAAAAAAATTTCCGAAAAATACATTTAATAATTAATAATAGATCATCTTTATTTATCTATGAATCTCCCGACCTTTTTCAGAATTCTTACATCCTCTAAAATTAATTTTAGACAATTTAATTTATTAATAATATACCTATTCTTTTAAATATTTATTAGAATTTAATAATAATTAAATATCAAATACATAAAGTTTATTTAAGTAAAAATGCGGGTGGCAGTACCTAAGGCATTTTATATAGAATTTATAATTCTATATAAAACATTAAGTATTTTACGTGGAAACCCCCAAAGCTCCAAAGAACAAAATTATTTTTTTTAATATTTTTGTTTTATTTGTTTTATAAACTTTTTGTTTAAATAAAAAATCTTTTTATTTGTTATTACAAATTAATTCTTTAAAAAAATATAAAGAGTATTAAAATGAGTAAATTCTGAAGATGAGTAAAATTAAAAAAAGTATTTAAATAAAGAATTAATTAAAAATATTTTTATTTATTTTTAATCTTTCTAAGAAGATTTTAAATATTTTTAAATGAGGAAATTTATTGCTTAAAAATATTTAAGCGTAATACGCTAATAAATTTATATAACCTAATTATAACATCGTCATCTAAACCTAAATGACGATGTTAAATTAATGATAATTTAAAAATAACCTAATACCGTAAATGCGAAAATAACAAATAATTACCCTCTCTAATAATTACCCCCTAGTTATTTTACTCAAACTTTAAAAATGTTTAAAGAATTGCTATCAAATTTGATTATTGGAACACTTTAAGAACTAAAATCAAAAGAATAAATCAGTTTTGCCTTAATTGGATTGAGATTCTCTCTAAATTGAGATATACCTTCTTCTCTAATAATTACCCCCTAGCGAGAGATTAAACATTATTTCCCAGGGTAATTATTTCAGCATTTACTGTATACATAAATATTCTATAAAAATATTTAATTTATTTTTTCTGTTAATTTTTAAATTTTTTTTAATTATTTTATTTTTCTTTTTTATTATTAAAAATATTTTTTAATTAATTATTAATTTTTAAGCATTTATTAATGGCTTTACAACCCCCAATTGAACTTACTGATGTATTACCCCCTCCAAATCATGATGATGTTCAAGTAGATTATTTTAAAGTAAACATCTTAAATTTAAATATTTCTTAAAAAGGTTCAAGTAATGGCTATTTGTTATATGCTCCTATTTTTGTTGGGGACTTGTGGTAATGTTGCTGTACTTACTACAATATATCAAATGGTAGTTAAAAAATATTTTTTTCCAAAAATAATTTTTTTAAATAAAGGTTCGATCTAGACGTGCAAATTTAGACAATACATTAATTTATATGGTTGTGCTTAGTTTTGTGGATTTTGGAGTGTAAGTATTTAATAAATATTTTAGAGGGGCTACTCTAATTAAGGGAGAAGATGCTGAATATATTTCTGTAGGTGAGGTATAATTCTGTGGAGGTCGATTTTGAAAAGGCTAATAAAATTTTTAAATGAAATTTTTTTGATTTAACGTGGTCATAAGAATTGTTATCATTATCAATTAATATGAAATAAAAATTAGCCCGATTGATTCGGTAGAAGTCAAGAAAGACGAAAATTTAAGGTGAGGTTATAATTATGTGGAGATTGTATTTTCTAAAGTTTCTAATATTGTTTTCTTGATAAGCTTTTACTTGATAGGACACTAGGCTTTTAATCTTGTGAATTAATTTGGAATAACATGAACTAGGTAACCTAAGTTGCTTTTCCCTATTTTCCTTGTTGTTTTGAGCATCTTCTCCCTGCAAGGTTCTTGCTAGTTTCTCATGAATTACACTTTTCCACTCGTACGTTATTTATTTATTTAGATGTCTTTCTTTACCTTTCACTGTAATTGACCAAATTCTTGGCTTTTGGATGTTTGGTTCCACAATGTGTAAATTACATGCTGGTAAATTAATTTAATAATTATTTAAAAAATTATTTTTTTTTCTTCAAGTTCTCGAAAATTTTGGAAAAATTCTCTCAGCTTTAATTATAACTGGTAAAATTTATTAGAAAAATAATTTTTAATTAATTATTTAGCAATGTCTTTTGATCGTTTTGCAAGTGTTTGCCATTCAGAGAAAAGAATGCTTCGTTCACGTAGAATTGCTTTTTGTATTTTAATTGGTAAAATTTTAAAATTATTTTTTATAAAATTTTAAGTATTTTTGAGAGGAAATTAACAAAATCTGAATTAACTGAAAAACTTTCTAAACAATTTTTAAATTAATTTTCAGGTATGGCAATTTATGCTTTATTAGCTTTGTGCCCTTTACTTTACAATTTTGAAGCTCGAGAAGTTATTTTATTCCAAAAGGTAAATTAATTTTCTTAAAAATAATTTTTTAAATAATTTTATTCAGGCAACTGGTCCAAATAAAGTAACGAGAATGAGAATTGAAAAATGTACAATGGTAAATATTTAAATTTTTTACAAAAAATTTATTGCGGATAATTAAAATATTTTTATAAAATTATTTAATAAGTAAACCAATAGGGGTTGGACATCAGGGCTGGATGCAACTGAGGATTGCGGCTGTGGAAATTTTTTTTCAAAAAAAAGCCCTGTTGACAGGGCTTCTTTTTTTCTCCAGCCTTGTTGGACAAACAATTAATCGGGACCGAAAAGTCAAGGTCAAAAACCGTGGATAACCGAAAACCGAGGGTGTCAGTTAATTAATTAACGGTTTACCCTAGTAACTAATATCTAAATTGTTAAATTATTTCTAAATTTTTTAAAATTTTTAGATGGATATGGTTAGATGGAAATTTACAATATTTACCTGTTTTCTTTTTGTTCTCTGTTACTTAGTTCCTCTATTTTTGGTTACATTCTTTTATACACAATTATTGTCTAAATTACATCATCATGCTAGACAATTTAAAGTAACATTTTAAAATTTTCTTTAAATTTATTTTTCAAAATTCTATCTTTAGAGCTCAAAAATTCGTTCACAAATTCCATTAGTTCGAATCTCTTTATATACAATGGCCGTTGCTTGTTTTTATTTTATTTGTTGGACACCATTTTGGGTAGCTACTGCTTTTGCTGTATATTTAGAATATGCTGGAGAACAAAATGGACAAGTACCTCCAGTTTTTGTTTATTTTATGTTTGTTTTTCTTGTATTTGATAATTCCTACCACTCTCCTAATAATTCCTACCACTCTCCTTATATCCTAAATATTATTCAAATATTTGAGATACGTAGTATTATTATTCTAAGTCTCTTTCCGTATAGGTATATTGTTAGCAGTGCCTAAAGATTTTGATTTTGCTCATACTCGTACTAATTACTAGTACGAATAAAAATTTTGGTAATTTTGGTACAACCGTCCAGGGACCGGTTGATACTTGTTCTCCCAATTCATATAAATGATTAGATATTATTATTTTAATTTTGATTTATTAAAAAATTATGAAAATAATTTTAGTATTTTTAATATTAAAATTTATTTATTTTAGGTACTTCATTCATGCCTTGCCATTTACAAATAGTGCCGTAAATTGGATTTTATATGGTTTGTTTCAAGATAAAATTATAATTCCTCTCATTTTTTCTCTTTTAGGTGCTTTAAACGGTCAATTACAACAACGTGTAAGACACGGGACATATCACCCAAATGTCGGTAATTATGGTATAGTAACCGGACATCAACAACATACAAATTCTTGTTTGGGTGGAGGATTATTAAATAATGTTGGGGGAGGAGGGGATGGAAGAAAACATTTAAGTGAAATAATCCAACCAATTGAACAACAAAAACAACAAAATAATTATTTAAATAAAAATTTATTTGTTTCACAAAATGGGCAGAGTAATGCTGAAAGTGCAGCAACTACAACAACAACTACTTTATTACCTAAATCAACTATTGGATATTCTTCTAGCATTGTAAAAATATCCAAAATATCCTAAAAATAAATTTTTAAAAATTTATAGGAAGATCCATTTACCCGCCACCAAAGTTTTTCAACAAATAAAAGGCAAAGAAATAATTCTTGTTCCATTTCTGCCGACGTTGGCTCTCAGAATTGGAAAAATCGAGCATCTTCAATTGCTCAATTAAGATCACACAGCTCTGTTTGTATTTAAAAATTATTTTTTAAATATTTTAGAGGCTTCCTTTGCAAAATTTGTTTACCTAAAGTCGTGTTCTGAAATTTCCAATATTTTCATTACTTAATTTTATAAAACAAATTGTATCACTCAGTCAATGAGAACTGTTTGATATCTATCAATACAGGATGATTCACCTAGAGCATTTAAAACGCTTAGGCGGGGGTTTAACGATCTAAAAAGATAATGATACATTAGTCGTCGCACAGGTAGCCCAGGGGTAGACCACCTTCATTTATGTGAGCAAGGCCAAGCGATCATTGTCAGCGTTTCGCAGGAATCCTGCTCGGTGGCTAAACTTCCAAATATATCTTCCAAATATATCCTCAAAATATCTCCAAATTAAAATTTATTTTTAATTACCAATTAATTTCAGTCTTCTTCTCTTGCTCTTTTAATGTCCAATAATGAAAGACATTCATCATTTAATTCAAAACATTCCCAAAAAATAAATAATCACCAACAAAACTTTCGTTATAGACAACATTCTTTGCCAAAAATTTTAAAAGAAAATAATTTAGAAAATAAAAATAATAATAAAAGTTTTGAAAATATAAATAATAATAATATTGAGAGAATTGAAGATGAAGAAAAATCCCTTTTATTATTTAATGCTTCTGATTCTATCCATTGTTTGTTACGTATTGATAGCCAAACAAGTACTTTTCTTTAAAAAATGGAAAAAAATGTTTGCCGTATTTCTTTGATTAATTACTAGAGATGCTCAAGACTGAAGATTTTCTAAGACCAAGCCAAGATTTTACCCCAAGATCAAGACCGAAAAAACCCCAAGGAAAGTCTTGAGTCAAGAACAAGACCAAGAGTCTTGGACAGCTCGATTAAGTACCTTTCCTCGTTTGATCACCCCCTATACTGAGAATAAATAAATTGCCCAGGGCATTTATTAAAGAAAATACGGCATTTAAAAATAATTTAAAATTTGTGATATTTTTGTAGATATGTATTTCTTGTATATATTTTTTAATAAAAATTTAAAAAAAAATTAATTTTTTGTTTTAATTTGCAAATTATTTCCTCCAATAATTTATTTTTCTTTCTAAAGGATGAAAATATTAAATAATATTATATTTAGCTAACTAACAGCAAAACTATATAGTTTTTTAGTTTTATGATATACCTAAGCAAACTATATTTATGCACTTATGTTGCTAATATTTTTTATAACGATGCGGTTGTTATGTGACTGACTTTTTATATTTTAAAATTAATATTTAAAAACAAAATCTGATATAAGCCTGAATAATAATAAATTAATTTTTACCTATTAATAAAATAAATATTTAAGTTATTAATTTTTTAGATGAGTTTTTAACTACATAATAATTTCCTCTTTTTTAAATTTCAATTTTTAAATTAAATATTTTTATTTTTCCTCAATTTACTTTAAAATAAAAAAAATTTTTTAGAAAATAAAATCAAAAAAGAATTTCCTCATTATTAGTGCCAAACCCTCATTTTTATGCAATTTTGCTTCAATTCTCGGTTGTTGTGTTTATTTCCTCTTGGGAGTAATTGTAGGGAGGAACATTTTGAAGAAGCATTGATTTTGCTAGAAAAAGCTTGTTCTCTTTTTCTCTTTTTATTTTTTTATTCATTTTTATTTAAATTGCACAAAAAATGTTCATAATTGATATAAAATTAAATATTAGGTAATATCGGGATTTTACAACCCTTTTTTCTTCTTTCTTTTTACCTTTTCGTTTTTTCTTCCGATTTAGAAGTATTTTTTTAATTTCCAATTTCTGACCTCCGTCACTTCAAGCAACCCACATTTGTCCGGGAATGGAGATTAGCCTCACAATATTGTGTTTCTGCTCGGATTTCAAGTTCGAAACAAAAAACTGATTTAGTAATATTATGATTTTATTTTAATCCTTTAACCTTTAAATCATTTGTAATTATTTTGAGAAAAAAATGAAAATAAAGATGGAAATTTTACAAAAATTATTTTAAATCAATTTAAAGTTTCCATCAATGCTACAAGATTTCCATTAATGCTCAATGCTACAAGATTAGTTATTATGTACCAGAGATCATACACATAAATAGGGTTGTCAGTTCTGGACCGAACCGAACCTATGAAACGAAGGTTTTCCAAGAATTGACAATTTTATTTTTACTTTAAAAATAAAATTTGACATTTTTGGAGACAATAAAACGATTTTTTGCCTTTAATATTTTCTATTTAAATATTAGAGTTGTACCCCGACCCCGTACCCCGAACCCCGACCCCGTTCCCGAACGATTTTTTCACGATTCTCCCCGACCCGAACCCCGCCCCGAAAAAAAGTGAAAACCCCGTTCCCCGGCCCAAAAAGTTTCGGGGTTACGGGGTTTTATACCCCTAAAAAATGTCATTTTTTGGAGAAATTAATGAAGAAAATTAAAAAAATTTCCACCCATTTTACTGGGCTTTTATTATTTTTGAAAGAAAAATGAATGAAATATCATAATTTTCTTTCCTTCTTTATTAAGAGACTTTTGGTTGAGTGGCTTAGTCGTTGGTTTTAGCCGATATTTCATTAATATAGGATTGGGTTCGGACCCATATAAGGATAGCTCCGTTGTTTTTATATTTTTTCACAAAAACAAATTATTAACGAGTTAAATTTTAATTTGAAAATATTAATTTTATTTTTAACTGATATCCCTTGAACCACCCTTAATCCTTCAAACCCTCTGTATCACCACTTTTCAACCATAACAGTTGGTAAACTATCGAGGTCATGTTAAGGGAATCAGAGATATACAGTGGTGGAAAAAAGTATGGAAGCAAGAGCTTAAAAAGTAAACTTCGTTAAATTCCTCGACGTACGAACCCTAAATCATTTTTTGTCTACTATAAATTTTAAAGTCCTATCGATTACCTCTAAAATGAGTATAAATAGAAACCACTTTTATCGAGTATTTATCTTTTTATAATTGGCTAAAGTAAACAATGTAAATTTTGCGCGGAAAAAAGTATGGAAGCAAAAAAATTTTACGTTCTAAAACAAGTCGAAAAAATTTTAAAAATTTTTTATAAACATTTCCATTGATATTGAATGGAATTATAGAAAAAAAGAAGTCTGTACTTGCTTTCTTCATCGAGATCTCAAATCTCAAAAATCACTGGGAAATCGGGGTACAGTACTTTAAAAATTATTTTAGCTCCCTGAGACTTGTATAAAAAATTTCTTTTAGACCTATCTGAAAGCCCTTAAAATCTGCTACAAAATATGGTTGGTTTCATGTTTGTACAAAAATTTGTCTAGGAGATAAGGAGGGAAACATTTCATTATGAGCCGAAATCACTCAAAATACCCTATAAAATGCTTATTTTAAGTTTTAAGTATTTCGTCCCTCCTTATCTCCTAGACAAATTTTTGTACAAATATGAAACCAACCATATTTTGTAGCAGATTTTAAGGGCTTTCAGATAGGTCTAAAAGAAATTTTTTATACAAGTCTCAGGGAGCTAAAATAATTTTTAAAGTACTGTACCCCGATTTCCCAGTGATTTTTGAGATTTGAGATCTCGATGAAGAAAGCAAGTACAGACTTCTTTTTTTCTATAATTCCATTCAATATCAATGGAAATGTTTATAAAAAATTTTTAAAATTTTTTCGACTTGTTTTAGAACGTAAAATTTTTTTGCTTCCATACTTTTTTCCGCGCAAAATTTACATTGTTTACTTTAGCCAATTATAAAAAGATAAATACTCGATAAAAGTGGTTTCTATTTATACTCATTTTAGAGGTAATCGATAGGACTTTAAAATTTATAGTAGACAAAAAATGATTTAGGGTTCGTACGTCGAGGAATTTAACGAAGTTTACTTTTTAAGCTCTTGCTTCCATACTTTTTTCCACCACTGTAAAGGGATTTGTAGATATCGAAGAATTAAGGAGTTTTAAAGGGATTTAAAGGAATAACGGAATTAACAAGGATTTCGTGGGAGATTTAAGGATTAATCGAAGATATCTCCTGATATCCGTGCAAATACCCTTATACGCAATACATCAATATCCTTATAAATCACTAATATCCCTTGACCCAACAAAAATCACTCCAGATCACCTTGTATCCCTAGATATACCATTTAATCCCTAAAAATCACACTTAATCCTCCTGATCCACTTATATCCCAAGGTATACACTTTAATCCCTTCAAATCCCCTCTAATTTCTCCAAATCTTACTTAATTTTTGAATAAATCAACGAAAATATATCGATTTCTAATTATTTTTGAGCATTTTTTTCTCTAAAAATTTTTCCACTAAACCCCCGTACCCCGACCCGAACCCCGGCCATATTTTGCTCCCCCGACCCGAACCCCGCCCCGAAACAATTGGAAAACCCCGTACCCCGACATAGCCGCCCCCGAACGTTCGGGGTACAACCCTATTAAATATACATAAATTCCATATTTTTCTCCAAATTTTAACTTTAACTTGTTATTTTTGCTCTTTGGCATTTCCAAACAATAAAAACAAAATTCACTCACCCATTGTCAAATAAAAAATAAAAAAAGGAAAACAAAGGCTTTCGACTAGCTCTCTCATGCAATTTTAAATTTTTGGCAATTTTAAGTATTGTTTCTTTTTTTTGGTTATATTTTGGAAATTGAAATATAATATTTATTTATTTTAATATTAAAATTTTTAAATTTATTTTTTAACATTTACAAGTCTTTAAAAATTAAAAAAAAATATTTTTTTTCTTTTAAAATCTCCTCCCTCTTATTTAAGATAATCTGAGAATTTTTATTTAAAAACAATTGAATGGAATTCCCACAACAAAAGCAATTATTTACTTCAAACAATTCTTCTTCCTCCTCTTTAAAGACAATTCTTAATAGCAGTCATCGTTTCCGAGAATTGAAAAAATTCCTTTGGCAAATTCTTCCTCAATTTGACAGCATTCAATTAGGCCAATTTGTTTTATTATTTGCAGCATTAATTGGCTTTTTTG